CTAATAATCTCGTAAGTTGACCTAGAACCGGCTACGTTGCATTATGGGTGCGCCACATATCCACCAAATACCAAACTAACCGCAAACTGCTGGAAATTTCTGCCAAGAAAAAATTCTGTGGAGCGACATCTACAATAGCGAGGTTCGAAATAGCATGTAAGTCCCGCCCTATTTTGTTTCTATTCTAAGGGGGGATATTTTGTGCTGTGGATGGTGGAATTGGTGGATGTCAGTGTAAAGTTAAACTGCTACTCTAACTTGGACTCAATCGGTACAATGAACTTAACATCGCTGGGAAATAAAAGAGAATCAGAAAAATTCGCTCTATAAACAAAAGAAAGGTCGTTGGCAACGCTGGTCTCATGTGCATTTTTATTAGTAAGTGTCGCGACGGTAAATTAGTGTTTTAGTGTTTAGTTGGGATAATATATGGATTAGATTGATGCAGGTAACACCCTTAGCTCTAAATAATGATAGAATCATTGACCTTCTGGGGCTCTGTAGAATAGGAATTTAAAATCTAGTGATAGATTAAAAAGTATAAATATCAACGAATTTTGAATTTTCGTTAATATGTAAATTTGAAAGTCTTGGCAATATGTTGCTTTTGCAAGTATCAGAAACTAAACAGGATCTATGATTCGTGCTCATACTTGAGAAAGGCAACCAATTTTCGACTTTGAAACATTTCAAATGTAGGTCAGATGTTCAAAACTATTTGACAACCTTGCTATGCTATTCCACACTATTCCCTACGCACTAAACACGTTTTAACGGGTAGCTCTACAGTAAATATGAAAACAAAAGTGCATAATTGTGCGCATATGCATGCAGCATTATTTCGCTTTTGAGATGTACCTAGAGTGTCATTGGCATACCTAACTGGGAAGGGAGCCCGGTTGAAACGCTTTTAAATGTAACGGCAGGAGAGGATTGAATGGTTTTGCACCTTTACAGCATTTAATTTCTTTTTTAAGAATTTCTAAGTATTTTTTTGTTGTTGCGCTTATTACTTGGTCAAGAAATAGAAGTTGATTTTTTTAAATGTTTGATGTACAAGACGAGATGTTTTCGGGAAAAAATCTAGAAATTTCAATAAAGGAGCCGAAAATTTTTGAATAGTTTATCCGAAAATGTTTTTCGTTTTGATATTAAACTATCTGAGAGGTGACCACTGAACGGTTCATATATTTATGGCATCTACAAATTGTAAGAAATGATCAGTAAAAGCTGCTAAATATGGCAACGTTGGTTCTAGACAGGTCGTCCCAAAAGTAATGGCATTGCGGTCTCTTGGGGTGAAAATATGACGATTTCATACAACTCAGGTAGGATCAAGTGCGCTAATTGTAAATCGGGGTAAATGTAAACATGCACAGATTTTAGTTTAAATTTACAGCAAAATATATCACGTTTGCTAATATTAACGGCTTTACTATCTCTCCTTATAAAGGCCTCAGCAGTTCCATCTTAGGCGTCCCTAACCTTGATTCCCGCGAACTATTTGTGATCGACAAAACGTAAATTTGCAATTGCTGTTTTCTCGCCTATGTAAAATTAAGACCTGTTTTTTTGACTTATAAAATGCTAAAATATATCGCTTGCATAACTAATTATGTATAAATAAACCGCATTAAATTTGAAGATTAATAAAAATATTAATTTTTCAAATGTCTCGAAAATATGCACCAAAAACTCGTGGACCGGCCTACACCAAAGAAGATGTGAAAAGCAGAAACATAATTTATCGAGCGGCTGCTAAATACTACAATGTTCCAATTGCAGTCATTTCGCAAAGAATTAATGGGAGACTGACTTGAATTGAGGCAAATCATGGAGAAAAGAACACTTTCAACCAGGAAACTGAAACCAAAATAGTTGAATGCTTGCTAGCTGGAGCTAACGCTAACTTATGGAGAAGTTCTGAAAATTTTTTTACAAATCTAACCGAAGAAAAAGCCGGTACCACTGAAAAGAAAATTAAGGGATGGAAGGACGCCAGAAGAGGAAACTACTAGAAATAGAGAAAAGAAAAGGAGTTCAGACGATGAGCAAAATGACCATTTGTTATCACATATTTAAGTGATGGAGACTCTTCTTTTGAGGAAAATTTTCATTTTGAGGAAGATTCGACTCCGATAACTAAGACACCTGTTTCAGAACTAAACTATGGAAGTTTTGCACTTGTACAATAAGGAAGGACAAAGAAACACAACTTCCTATAAATATTTTTATCCCATAGAGAATATTGTTGATCAGGAAGTGGAAGTAGTAGGACTAAAATCTATAGATATAACTCAAACAAAAACTTTGGGGTTCAGGCAAGTGATCTAAGTTTTTTGTAGAAAACCAGAAACCGGGGGTATTGCATTTCCCACAATTAAGATGAAGTGAGACAGAATTTATTATAACTTTTAAAAAGTAATTCAGTGTTGAAAAATTAATGTTTATGTTATTATTTAAGATAAGGGTTTTATTTCAATTTTTTCGTAAGGGTTTAATTCACGAGTTTTTAAGCAGTTTTTAAATTATGTTTGAATAAAAAAGTTAAATCAAAACAAAAAATGTTGTTTTTAATTCTTTTGGGGTAAATGTAATCATGAACCTAAATTAATAATATGTTACAGGCATTAAACAAAACATCAAATGTTTACATTTATCTCGTTACTTTTATTTTACAATATACGGTTGAAGTATTAGATGTTTCCGATTACTCCGAAGTTGTTGAGTTAATGTAAACATTAACATCTTTTTTAAATAATTATTTTCCAAAATTGAATTTTCGTTTCGTTCATTTTAACTGATTACAATGTAAAGTAGCTTATTCAATTATTACACAAAAAAATTGTAGGTGGAAAAAGGATATTGATCTATTTTTAAGTGATGATAAATTTGCAAGAAAAATCTACGTATTTGTCAAAATCCCCACTCGACCTTGATTCGAAAAGATCACGGTTCTTCACTTTTACAAACATACATTTTTATTCTTCTTTTTTGCGGTTGTACTTTTAACGGAGAGTAAGCATAAGAATTCCAATTCGGTAATCAGATTTTGAAAAACTGATATATGGGCGCAAAAATGGCTACAACCTTTTAGTCACCCTGTAAGCCGACTTACGTATTCGTAGTCGATGTCCCAACCCTCCGTTCCCGAGATATTTGCCATTAAACAGCAAAATAACCTTGTATGGCTTATACCTGATGAACATGAGCCAACACAATTCTCTTAATCTAATAAAACGAACACCCTTTTTAATTTCACGTTTTTTGATTGGTGGTTTCTTTGCTTAAACTCTTGAAGCATTCTGTTGAATTTGGTGGCAATTATCAAATGTATGTTAACAAATAGGTGATCTAAACCGTTCAACAAAATAAATATTACAGAGCCAAATTTACCCTAAGAAACTGGAAAAATTCTTATTGCTGTGACCGATTTAATTTCTGTTTGAAGCGTTTCTCTTCCAATTCAGTTTCTGTCAGTGGGTGTTTTTGCAAAAATTGGGTGCTTTATATAAAATTCCTACAGGGTGGAAAATAAAATAATGCGAACTTGCTGAAAGTTTCATATGCTCTCAATTTTACAAAAAATTATGTTCTTGGATTTCAACACCAAAGGCTTTAATAAATACCTTATACCTCGTAATCGTTTTTGAATTTTCGCCAATCTCTTGTATATACAGGGTGTTCAAAAAAATCAATCAATTTTTTTTGTTTTGCGCTGCGATAATATTTTTTCTCTTGGACCCATTTTCGATCTCATGTTGAAGCTAAAACTTGATAATCAACTGAAGATGAAAATTAAAAATTCAGGGTTGCATTAAGTGACTCAAATCCGAACTGCACCAAAAGATTCTGGCAGGCTCTCCATTAAAGTGAACTTCACTTTCAAAAAATCCGTTTAATGATATCGGATTTTTGGCTTAAGTCGACTATGAAGGTTTCGTTTCAACATGAGCTCGACATTTGGAAAAGCAGTCCAATAGGAAAAATGTTTTTACTGCAAGAACAAAAAGTTGATATTTTTGTTCTCACTCTGTAGGCATACCTACGCAAAAAAGCATATAAAATCGTTTCGAGCTACGAGGTCTATGTTTATGTCATTTATCTTAAAATTCGAAAAAAAATACTTATTTAAAATTGAGAGCATGCCGAATGTTCAGAAGTTTTGCATTGTTTTATTTTCCACCCTGTACAAACTTATCTGTAGCCCTAAATTTTGACTGACTGGAAATGAATTGGACGAGAAAACGATTCAAACAGAAATCCAACCGCTTACAGCAGTCAAGAGTAATCCACTAAGTATCTACCAAAGTTATCATATTTTATTAAGCAGTTTATTTTTTTCTTGATTTTTAAAAATGTATTATTGGTATTCTTTAAGTGTTTGATTTATTGGTTTTCGGGTTTCTTTTCTTCATATCAGTCAATTTTGGACACCTTATTGAGGACCACCCTGTATAATAAAAATGTATCTAACATTAAATTATTTCAAACAATAAAATCTGAAATATAAAACTTCAACAGCGATGTGCCAGTCTCTGTTATATGTAGTTAGATTCTATGGAAACATTATTTTTACATCGAATAGTTTTTTCACAATTATTTACAAAAAATACAAGCTTCTGTATGTATGACTTGACAATTAACGTTTTGCAAAATTTTGCTTAAACCTTCGAGAAAACGCTCAACCGCGTTGAAGAAATTCAGCGCTCACAGTAGTGAGTTTGACTACAGATCGAAAGACTAACAGATTGTTTGAATTTACTCAGTTTTCTCTTGGAAATGAGTGCCATATTTAATTTTATTGTTTTAAAATTGAACAGTATGATAAAAAACACACCGCGCAAGAAATTTACGATTAGTAAATACGCGGTAATAAAAAATGAAAATCCAAGCAGAAAAGCATAAATACATGTTGTGTTTATTACGCATTTTTATTACAGGATTAGTTGGGTGCGCCGATTCGAGTAGAAATTTGCGTCAAACGATGAAGGTGAAACTTCCTTAAAGTCTCATCACCCATTCATATCAATCGCTGTTCGGATTGTCTATTTATTTAAAATGCAAGAATTTATAACTCTATTCACCCTATCTGTTTAATTTTTAACTTTCCATAAATACACAGTTTACAGTTATTATTTTCTGGAAAGTTTACATATTATTAAAGAACTAGGAAATATGTTTCTGCGCATTAGAAGATACGGAAGATTGCATTGTGAAAACTTAATCGGTCTTAAGATTCTAAATCGGCCAGTGGAGAACTTAGAACTTTGTTGGACGAAAACTCGTGTGTTTCATCCTGTTTGTTCACAAAGTATGTGCTGTGTAAACTATTGACTTTCATCACTCAATGCTGTTCAATTACGAAAAATGTTTTTACCTATCTGCGTTTTTCTTTATTTTCGGTGATTTTCTGCACTAAAGAACATCAATAGTTGATTGATTACG